AAAAAAAAAAAAAAAAAAAAAGAAGAGAATAAAGAGCTCAATGTCTCGCGCTTCATTGTGCGTTGTTACCGATCCTGTCGTGAGCGATCGTCGAAAGCACCGCCGGTGTTCATTCTAATCCACACTTATAGATAGTGGTATATTACTACTACTACTATTACTACTACTACTACTACTATTACTACTACTACTATTACTATTACTATTACTACTACTACTGCTACCCGAGAAGAGAAGAGAATAAGATAAAAAAAAAAAAAAATGAGAAACAATACGTGTAGAGAGGGGGGGGAGTATAAGATAATATACTTAGATAATGCGCACGCGAAGATTTTTTAAAAACCCGTAATTAAATCGCGCGAGAACAGAGAGAAGAAGCTAAGCGCGTCGAACAGTGCTTTTGACTTTTTTGGACTATTTTCATGTACAAACACGAAATGACGGTTTATAGCTCAAGGAGAAACATTAAAAGAGACAGATATTGTAAGAGAGTAATAATAATTTGACGGTTACGATATCGTAACACGCGTGTTCTTTTCATTCACTTTTCATTCCCTCCCCCTCCCTCCTGCATTTCCCCATCGTCTCTCTTTCCGATCTCTCTCGTCTTGTCGAGCGATTAACATTGCGTAACGTTTGTCACAAATTTCAATTTATTCGAGAAATATTCTCATATATTTATTACACGCATATACTTTTTTCGTATACGTATTCGAGGAAGTGCAATGTCTTCGTGGAAGCACGGTTCGCTTCCGTTTCCGGCACGAACCACCCCCGTGACGAGGAACACGATATTCCCGCAGGCGGTGAACCTGCAGGAAACCCGATCTTTGTTCCAGGATCAACTCTCCTTCCAGCGCAACCTGTTGGCTACAGGCTGAAACGGGTGTGCTCGCGTGTTCACGAGACACGAGAGAAATTCAATAAGTCAGCACGCGCGCCTTTTTTTCACGGATGAACAAAATTCGTATCGATCGCGCGCGCGAGAGCGAGAGAGAGAGAAGACGATATAATTATTAGCCGTTGACGGCGGTGTACGGTTACACGTACGATTCTAACGCTCCATCTTTCCCCTCTTCCTATTGGCTCGCGAACTCGTTAATTACGGATGGCCGATTAACCGAATGGGAACGAACTAACCGAATCGTTTTTTCTTCTCTTTTTTTACCTCTCTTCGTTTTAAACGAGCGTTCATTTCGTTCGGGGAGAGTGAATTTTTCGAAACGAAACAATCGCGAACGCGAACAAAAGACTTTCGCGAGATTCGTCAGAAACTATCAGTTTAAAATTACGAAATTACACAGGCATCATTGTCCCGTCGACAGGTCGTTAATTAGAAAGTCAGATATTTAATTTTGTTTATACCGATACGCGGTTGGTCCGCTTGATCTGTACAGTTACTCACCATTATTCCCCGGCAAATTCCCGTAAGGAGAAAGCTGAAAAGCGACGAAGAAATTGTCTCCGGCGAGGAGTGGATCGCGGTATGGCGCGTTCGTGTGGCCAACGAAACGAAGATCGGAGCGGGAAGATGGTGAAAAAAAGGTAAGTAAGCCAGGTGGGAAAAACGGGCGGTAATCGGAAGACGAACGATTCCTTGATTTACCCGGTCGGCTTGGAAACACTGTTTACCAGCTGGTCGGTGAAAGAACGGGAAGGAGACCTGGAATGGTAATGGTAATGGTAATGGTACCGGTGCAGAACGTCGGGAACGCGGAGTTCGTTTCTTGCCTCGTACCCTCGACGTCGTCGAGTTTGTTCTTCTTTGTCGTTTGGATACAGTTAAGGGAACACCGAGATAAAATTCAGTCCATCGATTCAAGTCCCACAGTCCTTGATATATTGACGATTATATGAACGATCGTTTCCAATTATCGCAATTATTATCGGAACTCGATTTTACTACCGTAATTTGTCTCTTTGTTTATTTGTCATGTCGTTAGATAAGGTTGTTGGTTAAAGCTTTTATCTTTTCGAGCAATCTGACAAAAATTGATGACCGGCAACATATTTGATGACTCGAACATATTTCCATTAAATTTTCATTACATTTGAAAAATTATGTTTTAATTATCGTTAGAACGGACATTTTGATTTCACTATCGCGACATTAGTTTGGCGCCACTTTTTCCACAAATGTAATGGCGTAACACGTTGCACAAATGATAAAGAAATCGAATTTGCACTCGTATATGTTGTACATCAATGTACAACAGTCGTAAAAACAACGGACATACGTGTTGAGAATTTAATACGTTTCGAGTAATTTTCGCAATTATCAATTATTCAGTTAACGTATCGTATAACATATCGTATACATGTACGAATAAATTGATTTTTGGAAGAAAATATTCATCTCACTTTCGTAGTTTTAATGCACGTAACTAGAATCACTGACCCAATATCCCAGTATCCCACGAAAATCACTAATTTTATTTAATCACTGTTGTGATATTCGTCCGTAATCTATACGAATTAACACTATTTAAATTTAATCGAGAGCGAGGGGGACAAAACGCGATACGACCGAGACGAAATTCATTTCAAGCGGTTCGGTCGGCTTCCAGATGCGGCGCTGCGATCGCGACGTTGGAGGTTGTGGGTAGTCGCGAGCGTGAGTTCAGGCCGGTAAGACGTATTTGTGGTCGTCTCGTGTTTGTGATATACGTCAAACGCGCGCCTCGGCGCGAAAACGAGGGTGTCGATTTAACGTTGCTCGTGTTTTAAAGTGTTTTTACGGAAGTGCTAGTGTGACCGTCCAACGGACGAGTAGTGTTAACGAACTTGATCGACTAGTGAAGAAGAACTCGATAGAAGAAATTGAACAGCGCATTTCTCACCACTCCCGAACGAATTTCGTCGAAACGTCAGTTTCTTCGTCAGAAGTGAGTATCTTTGATCTTTCCTAGCTCGTATTATTCGATCGTGACACACAAACACGAAGGTATCGTCACTATTGAATTCGATCAATGAATTGTTTCTGGTTTTTCGTAATTTAAAAAAACGACTCGCGTCGATAACGTAGAGTTTTGCTGCATTTCGTAACGATCGTAACGACACGTCTTTTTATATGGTGTTTCTATTATTCCGACTTTTTTTATCGACGTATTACATAAATTTCTCTATCACCGACAATCGCAATTATTTCATCATCGACAATCGTAATTATTTCACAATGTGGTATAGCGTAGTCATCAATCGATTCGAAATGCGCCGAACGTTCGCGATTAATACGTCGTAGATCGACCTTCCGTGTTTTGTTTGATATTTCCGTTTCCATAGAATTTGATGTTGTTGGCTAATCAATGCTTGTAATTGAGAAAATCAAAATGTTTATTCCGAAATGAAAAAGAAATTTGACGAATTTACTAATGGCTATCGTCAATGCGTCAATATCGCTCTCGTTTATCGCAGCAATTTTTTTTAGCAAATTTAACCATCGATTCGGACTATCAATTAATACAAAATGGAAGCTCTTGAAAATGTCGATAGTTTAGTCGGATACAAGCGTGGTGTAATAATCGCTATTATATTTCGCAAAATGTATTTCGATTTTACGAAATTTTATTTTCTCGAAAACGTAACTCCATTTTGTCAACACGCGACAATTGCGTCTTGGAATCCACTAATTTTCGGCCAAGGATATTTCGCTGGTAAACAAATGTTTTTTGCTATCCGGTGACGAGTCGCGCGAGCGTGTAACTCAAATAGAGCACGCTTTTCTCGAAGTATATTGGCACGTGTAACGTTTCCCCTGCATATATGTCTGACAACAGGTTTTCGTGCATGTAAATATTTATTTTGTTTACGTAACGCGTCGAAGGCTGATTGCGTTCGATGGGACATTCGCTTCTTTTTTCCCCTGTTCTGTTTTTCACGTTTCAGTTGCACACATATTATATCTTTGTTCGTTTTACAATCTAATCGTCTCGAAATAAAAGAATTCTGGGAAGAGGTTAAAACGAAATCGGCGTATCGAATCGTATCGCGAAATCATGCTCGTTTCAAAGAATTTCACAGAGACTCGAGACTCGTTCTACACCTACGCCGCAATCGTGGAGTATTCGCTCGGCGTAGATAGTCGTAAAAGACACGGTAGAGGTTCGTCGACTCGAGGTAAAGTCATGCGCAGCGTGGTGTCGTGTCTATTTAGAATTTCAGCGAGATCCGTTGTTGAATTCCGGCACGAGCGGTCGTATTTCACAGAGAAGGGCTAGGGAGACGTGTAACGGGTGTCGAGAGAGGATTTCCCTAGCGCGATCTCGTTAGTATCTCGATGAAATATACAGGTGCAAAGTAAATGCCGCGCGCATTTTTCCGTTCGCCGGTCAGATAAGAGGAGTCTTGTGCCGTTCGTTGCTGTTTATGCTTCCACGATGGAGGTCGCGCGTTCTCGCTGGATCAGAGGCTGACGGAGGAGGCGTTATTTCTTTCGCACGAACAATCCTTTTTCCATTTCATTTCCTGTTTGTTCGTTGCTTGACATTCGACCTCCTCCTCGGCGGCGATTATCCGGAGACATTTTAAAAAATCGCGCGAGACATTTGCACGTGAGTTTGCGAATTTTTCGATTCGCTAGTCGCAACGTTGCAAGAAATGACGGGGCGAGAATTATTCGCGTGGCCATTAGTCAAAGCTCGCGTACTCGCGTACATCGTCGATCTGAACGGTTGGATGCGTGGATCGTGGCTAATAAGCGCGATACGTGGAAAAAGCAACGAAATATATATCGTTGACACGAATCAATTGGCTTCCGTTCATGGTTCTCGCGGCCACGAGTCGAGCGTAACGAGCAAACCTTTCAGACGTTTTACACGCGGTACGAATAGACGTGCTCGTAACGCTGGTAATCAGTGATGTAACCCGGCGGCTCTCTCTCTCGCCGTCGACGACCACGAACAGCTGACAGCATCGCGGAAAATTGGCGAGGATGAGTCGTCCGATCGAAAACGCTTATAATGCCGATCCCCGTAATTTCGTCGCGGTTAATTGGCAGCTTTGAAAAACATCCCTCCTCTCCGTTCACAACCGATGATTCACGCGAATGACTTTTTCTCGCAAACTCGACTCGATAAGCAGCGCATGCTTGGCAGAAAAAAAAAAAAATGAAACAATGGGGCGCAATTCAGATAAACCGAGCGTTTCTCGGTGAATCGGTATCAACGAAGGGAGACTGTCGTTTCCTCCGCTCGATTTTACAAATTACTCGAAAGGCGTGGAGTCAACCGCGATTTCCTTCCGCGCTTATCATTATCGCTCGTATCGTCCGTGATGCGAGGAGGTGCGCTTTGTCGTTCGCGGTCTATGTCATAATCCAGATATACGGTGAGATAATGCGACGACACGATGCCGGTATTTGTACAAATGAACAACACTTCGCTGCGTGCTATGCTAGGATGATTTATCGTTTCACGGCTCAAGGATACTCGTACCGTGCCGCCTTATCTTGGCCAATTATGCCCGTTGATAACAAGGTGGAGAACAAGACGCAATAAAGAAGTTTCGTTTCGTCGATTCGTCGGATTAGAGTCGGTCGATCTCTCGGTCAAGCCTCGGCTTTCGTCCCCGCTTTGAAACGTCTCGAAATGATCCCGATGAATTATGGAGCGACTGTGGTCGGCCGCGATTTTTCCATTCGCGGTGTTTCTCGATCGGGAAGATTGGCTCCCTCCATCCTTGATATCACTTGCGTCAAAACAAACGTGTTGTCCTTAGAAGAGGAGGGGGGAGGGAGGGGAGGAAAAATTGACAATTACACGCTCACGGCGATCGAACGCTTCGTTATAGCAGGTTGTCCGCTCTCGTTGCTCGCATCGGTTATCACGGTCAATAGCTAAAAATAAGCGCGCACGTCTCTCTTCCGGTCTCGATTATCGAGCTTCTCGAGCCTGTTTATCTCTAATATATTTCTCTTCGATTTTGCGCGTCGTGTAACGCGCGTCATCGATAATAATTCCCTCTTTCTCGCTTCTCTCTCGCGCGCACGCGTCTACGATAATACGTACTAGCCCTCGTCGTCGTCGTGCCTCGATTTCGACGAAGAAAAGAGTTCTTTGACACCTCTCCCCCATCCTCCATCGCCTCGACCGTACCCCGAGTCCCTTGAAAAAAAGGGTTTGTCTCGGGGTAGCGTTTGCATAATACATCTTTCGCGGGTCGTTGTCCTACGAAATTGCTCGTAAACAATAAAGCGACACGCGACAAAGGATTACGGTGAATGGCACCCGCTCCCCTCCCCCTCCCTCGTCTTCAAAATTAATCGACTCCGTTCCGTCGATGCGTGCTCTGCTTGCACCATTTCGAATGCTTCTCTGCCTAGTAAACAGAAAGAAGGAACGATAGTTTTTTTTTCTTTTCTTTTTTTTTTTTTTTTTAGAGAAAGAAAGCTCTCGAAAGCGTAATATAGAGATATTAAAAAAAAAAGGGTGGATAAAGGTGGAAAGGAGGTGGGATATTTCTTCCTTTTTTTTTTTTTTTTTCCCAGAGACTTGGCTTGGAATTTGAAATTGAATCCAGCGCGATATGAAAGATCGTGGATGGTGGTTGAATTCGAGGAGGGGAGGAGGAGGAGGAAGAGGAGGAGGAGAAGAAATAAGGTCAACGCAGCTGTTTTCTTCCGATATTAAAACCGGCAGAGAAAAGTTGGCCGCAACTATCGCCGCGGAACGAAAAAATTCTTTTCTCCAATTTTTCCACGGCGAAATTTTCCAGACACCGGTCGGCCAAACCGTCCGCTCTCTCAAATTGTATTTTGAATTCTATTCACGAAAAAGAAGAAAAAGACAAATCGGCGCGCATTTCCTCTCGTCTCTCTCTCTCTCTCTCTCTCTCTCTCTCTCTCTCTCTCTCTCTCTCTCTCTTTCTCTCTCTTTCTCTCTCTCTCGACTCGGCTCGGCTCGGCTCGGCACGTCGCAACGTCGTGGCCCTTCCCCTCCGACAACCCCGTCCTCGGTCCAAAATCAATATAGGCGCCGCTACCGGCGGCGACGCCACCGACGTCGTTCCACCCAGGATTTTCCACCCTGCGTCCGCCTCCATCTTTCGTTTCCTTCGCCCGCCGGAACTCGTGCCGCGCGTTTCTCGCCTCTTCGCCCTTCGCCTTCTCCATCTTTATCTTATCCCCTCCCCTCCAAGCTCCAAGATAATTCATCCACGACTCGTCGAAATTGGATTTGCCGAGTCGAAAAATCCGGTTGGTGTATTTGACGCTGATTTGATTGACGTTTTCCCTCGATCTCGATCGCGAGCGAAATATTTTTTTTTTTTTTTTTAATTTAATTCTCTATTGCATTCCGTTCCCGATTTCAAAGGTGTATTTTCTACGCGAAACATGTACAGAAATATTTTAAAAAAGAATGCCGTTAGAATGCTGTTATTATTTATTATCATGACGCTTGTTTTAAGTAGACCAATATATTTTTCAACTGGCCATCAAAAATTCATGCGATGGAGGATCGAACGAAGTTTATGAGAAAATAAGTTTGAGAAATAACGGGAAAGGAAGATAAGCGGATATTTTTTTTTTTTGATCGATCGGGTTTCGGTATCACTCGGACAAACGGCTTAAATCGATCTCGAAGCCCCGCTCGTACGCGAAAGAGCGGAAAGTCGATAGCGGTGAACCCTAAGCGCGGAAGCCTATTGCATTCAATGGCCCGATCCTCCTCGCCGCCAGATGCTATCTCTCTATATTCACCGATGTTCGTCCAGTGAAAGCATCTTGTCGCGTCCTATTCGACGCATAATTGCCATTGTTGGCCGTCCTTCGTTCGCCCTAACATTTATCGTGTCCCGTTCCTTCTTTTCCTCGCGTCGTTTCACCGTCCGATGCGAGATATATCCCTCTCTCTCCCTCCCCCCCCCNCCCCCCCCCACTCCACTCGCC